TGCTGGTGCCCCCGGGGGGTGGCCGTCACCCAGTGCCGATGGGACCACAGTGGCTTCGACCCAATCCTGCCAAGCGGGGCCGGTCCCAGTGGGAACCAAGCGTGATGAGCCGGTACGGCCGGGGACGTTCAGCCTTTACGGGGAGGGGGGAAAAAAACCCGTGAAAACTCCTCGGGGTACCTGAGATGTGCTTAGCAGTTTCTTACTGACCTGCGCCCCATCTGCTTCTGTTTTCAAAAGGTCAGTGGAGGAAAGCTGGTTGCAGTAAAGGCCCGCGGGTCTCAGCGCCGGGTCATTTACCTGTCAAAAGCAAGATCCAGGCTCAGCCGGGGCTCCTGGATGCTGGAGGGACGCTCACCGCCCTCTCGAGCTGAGGTTTGGGGGGAATTTGGGGAGGGGATGCTCATGGATGGGGCAGAGCCGGGGGACTGTGCTGCCAGCATCGTCCTTGCACCATGAGCAGCAGGATTTTGGTGGGGGGATCCCAGTGGGGAGCCGAGACCTGTTTCACCTTTCTCCCCACCTCCTGCACCATTGCCCGGGGCTGCTGCTGGCTCCGGAGGCGTCTCACCCCTGGGGAGCATAAAATGCCACCCAGCTGCTTGGCGAGAGGGGTAAAAGCCGCCGGCTCAGCCCGTGCACCGCAGCCAGCTCACGGGAGAAACCCCGCTCCCTCCGTGCCGAGCGCTGCGGCTGCTTCCCAGGAGGCTGCAAGCCCCATCCCGCAACGTTCCCATGCAAAACCCACGAGCCAAGCGTGTCCTCCATCAGCTTAATGGCGCCGAGGCGAACCCCGGCAGCTAAAAATATCGGAGGCATCTCAGTCTGGCCCAGGGAGGACCTCGCCAAAGGGCTAGGACTGCGGCAAGGTCCTGTATCCGACCGTTCTCATTCCGCATCCCCAGCTTTCACAGCTCCCCGGGGATGCATGGCTACAAACGGACGCACCGCCAGCCCACCGTGAGGGCTGGAGGTGTTGGAGATGCTTGGCATGTCCCTGCATCCCTCCCTCAAGGACACACAGGACACTCCGGGGCGCTGGTGGCCATGGGCTCCAGCACAGCAGCAATGCCAGACCTTTGCTGCTTCCCCCTTCGCCCCCTTCGGACACCGGTACCCCCAGGGCCAGAGAAGTGAACGCAGAACCCCCGGGAATTGGCTGCCCATCCCGGGAGCGGGGACGGCACGACACTGACCTGCTCCGAGCACATGGAGTTCATCCCGGGCATCTGCAGCGAGTTCATCTGCATCTGGCCGGCCATGGGGTTCATGTTCTGGACGTTGGTGTTTCCTCCCGCCATGGAGACGGTGATGCTCATGTTGTTGTACATGCCCTGCTGAGAAGGCGCCGGCTGGCTCTGCCCCGCTTGGCTGAATACGCTGAGAGAGAGAGAGAGAAAAGAGCGTTACTCCGGCGTACGTGGTGGTGGGAGGCACCTCGAGATGTGTGCTGAGCCCCTGGGGTGGCCCGAGCCAGCCTGCCTCTCGGTGAACGCCGAGATCACCTGTGGGCGGGAGCCCTGCCGGTCCCTGGGGACCGC